TTATGGATTGAAACAAGCATCTCGCAGATGGAATCTTTGTTTTGATGAGAAGGTTAAAGAGTTTGGCTTTCTGCGAAGCGAAGATGAATCTTGTGTGTATGTCAAAGCCAGTGGGAGTATAATAAGCTTTCTCGTATTGTATGTCGACGACATACTACTCATAGGAAACGATGTCCCAACCTTGCAGGAGGTCAAGTCCTGGCTTGGGAAATGTTTCGCTATGAAGGACCTCGGAGAAGCTGCTTATATTCTGGGAATAAGAATAGTAAGAAACAGGGAAAAGAGACTGATAGGACTCAGTCAGGATACATACTTGGAAAAGGTGCTAAAGCGTTTTAGTATGGAAAATTCCAAGAAAGGGGAGTTGCCAATCCAAAGCAATACCAAGCTGAGTAAGACTCAGAGCCCGAGTACAGAGACAGAGATAGCTGATATGAGCCGAGTACCTTACGCTTCCGCAGTAGGCTCTATCATGTACGCTATGACTTGTACTCGCCCTGATGTGGCCTTCGCTTTAAGCATGGTCAGCAGATATCAGGGGAATCCTGGTAGAGCACATTGGATTGCAGTTAAGAATATTCTTAAGTACCTTCGGAGGACCAAGGAATGGTTTCTAGTCCTCGGTGGGAGTGATGACTTAAGGGTACGAGGGTACAGTGATGCTAGTTTTCAGACGGATCGGGATAACTTCCGATCGCAGTCGGGCTGGGTCTTTACCCTAAATGGAGGAGCAGTGACTTGGAAAAGTTCCAAACAAGAGACCGTAGCTGATTCAACGTGCGAATCAGAGTATATTGCGGCGAGCGAAGCGTCAAAGGAGGCTATATGGTTGAAGAACTTCATTGGAGACCTTGGAGTCGTGCCATCCATAAAGGAGCCCATGGAAATTTTCTGTGATAATGAAGGAGCGGTTGCCTTAACCAAGGGATCATGGCAGATCTCGACATATCGACAGGAAATACCATTTTATTAGACATCGGGTAGAAGAGGGACTCCTCGTTGTGAAGAGGGTATCGTCAGAAGATAACCCAGCAGATCCCCTTACGAAGGGACTGAGTAGGGTCAAGCATTTTCAGCACGCTAGGAGCGTAGGGCTGAAGGACGATATTAGTTTAGATTAGATAGGTAGGAAACTTGTAATAGATAATGTCATACTCAACAATTGATGATTAAATAAAAGTGTGTTATTTATAAGAAAGTTTCTATCATGTGTTGATTATTTATCTATTTTTCCGATTTTTTGCATGTTTTGACTTCCTGAATAATGAGATTATTCGAACAGTCCACAATCGCTCATATGTTGGAAGTAGATATGAAGAAAGATTGTCATAAATTTGTTTGTAGATTGTCTGAAAAAATTTTAGACATAGCAAAGGTTTGCTACAAAGTTTATGAGTGCTTATGAAATTAGTATTGAGCATTGGAACAGACCCACACTTGCTGGTATTACTTCATGAATGTCATCACAAGTGATCGCAAGATGATAATATCATATAATCTTTAAACCTAGAGATATGGTTATTGTTTGCTAGTTGATTATACATTGATAATGCGAAAACGCATCAGTAACTTGATGTCATAAAACGCATTATTGTGTATGGTTTAACTGGTAAATGATAAAGGCATATTAGTCGACGTTTTTCTGTTCCTTTTATTCTATGAGGATGAAAGCGATATCTCGGCCACTTGATGATTTGGTTTGACTTATGTGCCGGGCCCGGTCAAGATGAAGTTGATGTGTTCAACTGAGTTCTATGTCGAACGAATCAGAGATCAAGAAATAAAATGCTAGACAATAATTATTGTTAGCATGATATCTAGAACAAAGGATTATACGATCCCTTATCTAAAGGACAAGTTATTGGTCAGAGTTGACAGCGGCTATTGAAAGCTACGATTGCTATCGGGTACGAAAGTAATACGTGAGATATAGTTACTAGACTTATCCAAGTGGGAGACTGTTGGATTAATGTCTAAGTCAGTAACCATATTTGGTATATACTTGACCCGAGTGTGCATGGTCCTTTTGGGTTGCCTTCACCAAAGCAACTTGACAAGGTAATTTGATATGAGAGAGGAGATATTATGATTTATTAATATATTATAAGAATAATATATTAAAGGAGAAATCATATTTATTTGATTAGTATTAGTCATAAATTAATTAGGAATTAATTTGGTGACTAAAAGAGACAAATTAAATAAAGGGGTATAAACTGTCAATTGTGTGATAGTTGAGTTTTGGGCTAGGAAACCTAGTGGACTAAGGGGGAACGAAATTATGATGAAGGATCATCATATTTTCGTCCAAGGCCTCATTCCATAAGGTTTCTTGGGCTGCTTGGTGGCTAAGCTGTCCATTAGGGTTTTGACTGAAACCCTAGCACCCTATAGTATAAATACATACCCTATGCTTCAATTTAAGGCCACTTGATTCCAAGGGAACCCTAGGGCCGAAATTAGCATCATTCCCTTCTCTCTCTTAGTTTCCTTCTTGCTTCAAGGTGTTTGTGAGCCATTAGAGGCACTACAATTGTGGTGCTTGCTTTCAAGAGTTCTAGAGAGTTCAAGAGATCAAGGAAACTAGTTGTTATTGCTATATAACAACAAAGGTATGTTTTTCTACACTTCTATGTAAATTTCGAAAATTATAGAAGCATGCTAGGGTTTATTTTGTGTTCATAAAGTTGTATGTCTTATAGTGAAAACATAGATCCAAACTAGGGTTGCATGCACACATAGGATTGTTTGTATAAAACCTAACAGAATATAGCATATAATAAACATAGTATATTCATATTTAAATATTAGACGATGCATTCACTTGTGAATGTTACATAGTATATTCACTTTTGAATATTAGATGGTATATTCACTTATTAATATTAGATGATATTTTCATATGTGAATATTACATAGTATTACACGGTATATCACATGTGAATATTACATAGTATATTCACTTGTGAATATTGGATGGTATATTCACTTATGAATATTACACAGTATATTCACATATGAATATTACAATGTGTTTTCACAAATATATATAATTTTTATATGTTATTTACATATGAATAACATACAAACTTGCATATTTGTTTTGTGTTATAATAATCATATACTGATTTAGGTGAGAAAACATATTCATATATGAATATAACGTGGTAATTCAGTTTATGCATTTCATCAAACAGTTGGAGTGCATACAAAAAATGTTAAAAACATGATACTTTGACTATTTAAATGGGTTTTTGACACTATAGCACATCAATGTTTGATCACTTTGCACATTTAGTCACTAAAGTTTTTTTTGTGCTCAATTGATCCTTAATGTTAGTAAATACCTGCTAATTAAAGGGATGGGAGAAAATGTTACCTGTTTAAGGGTCATCGCTGACGTGTATTGGCTTATGTGGACAAGCATTTGACCATGTCATCTTTAACGTGGAAACCTTCCTTAATTGAACCTTATATTGAACCATCGACGATACTTTGTTACCCCAAATTAGGTAAGTGCCTCCCTCCCGATACTCTACACTCAATCGATATAACCAAAATAATGTCTGCCTCTTCTAGTCGATCAATCAACCTCGTGCGCGTTGGAAACATTCGTGATGATGGCCCTTGTCCACCTTGCGATTGTCAAGACGCAATAAGCGTGGAAAGGACTGCCTGGACCGACGATAATGTAGCTCGGAGGTTTTGGAATTGCAAAAACTCTTTGGTGAGTATTCCTTTTATTTACTTACACCGTATTTGTTAATTTGAGCTGGGAATTTACACATTTTCATTAATTTCAACCCTAACCCTAACTCTGGTTTTCCCTTTAAATCAGTCAGCTGAAGGTCCAAAATGCAAGTTCTTTATGTGGAAAGACAAAGAAATGGAGGAGTGTTACTACAAAGAACAGATTCGCAAGATGAGGTCTGAGCTGAAAAGGAAAGAAGAGTTTCGTGAAGTTTCGAAGGTTCAAAAGAAGTTGGTTAAGCTGCAGCAAGCTATGGAAGCAGATAAGCAAGTGTTTGAGACACATTTTATGGAGTTAATGAAGCAAAACATAATGTTGAAGTATAGGATCTTTGTTATGGTAATTGTAGTCATTGCCATGTGGTTGAAATGACATTGAAAAGTGCAGCTAATCAAATAGGTGTTTATGGTTGATGGTATATAATTCCAACCAGTTTTTTGGAAAGTGTATGGGTGGATGTTAAAACTTGTTTGCTTTTTGGGAAGTGTATGGGTACATGGTCATGGTTAGATCCAAGTTGTAATGTATAGTTAGGTTTTTGGTTGAATGCTTGTTTGATCAGTGTGTGTATGGGATGTTAGATGTAATGAAATGTAGATGTAATGGGATGGCAGTACATGGGAACAACTGTAATGACTTTGTGTAGATTCAATGAATGATATGAAAGATCCTAGTTGTGATATACCTTGCTAAATTTTATAATATGCATGTGCTCCTTTTAAAAATTAAAGTGCGGGTACCACATTGTTAGGCATAAGGAACTCACTTGGTCCACTTAAAAGTGCATTGTGTTTAGAGTTCTGTGCAGGGGTATATATGGAAAAGTAAGGGTTAGTAAGGGTATATGGACCACTGACCACACGTGGTATACAAGGACATAACCAATGACAATTTTAAATATTTATATATGCAAATATATTCCCTTGCGATGCAGTTTAACTAGACAAGTCCTTGTCATGCATGCAACTTCAAATAAAACACAACAAAAAGCTCAAAATAACAACCAACTTATTTAGCACAAAATACACATCACATAAACCAACATAGTTTCATACAAACTAACATAGTTAATAGTAGTTTCATAAAAACAGCAACAATACACCAAAACACATCATTTCACACTACATACCATGTTCATATCACATAAACCGACACTTAAAGTTATTCTAGAGTAACAGGTTTAGCTTCTGAATTCCCAGGTGTATCTACACCACCAACTTTCTTGCCCAACTTCAACTTGAAAATCCTTTCAGATTTCTTCCTCCTGAATTTTCTTAAACATGGTTGCAACTGGTGTTTCTCTAGCCTCCTGTTCTTGCACATAAACCTGACTAGGTTCTCTATTTGTTGATGTATCAAACTCCAAAGGAGTGAGTTCCACCTCATCATAGTCTTGTTGTACATGCACCTCATTGATTGCTTCTCCACCATCATTTACTGCTCCTCCATCATCATTTACTGCTTCAATTACACCCTGATTGACCAATATGAAACAATATTAGAAAGTTAAAAAGAAATTGTAAAGATTAACCATTAAAATACTTATTTACCTGTTTTGTTTTTCTTCTAGCTTTGATTTTAGGAGGCCTTATCAAAGTACAAGCTCTTTGTTCTGTCCTTCAATCTTACAAAGGCTACATTTTTGTTTTTTCCCAACCTTGGATACCTTCACCTGCTCCTTACCTTTGTTTTGTGTTTGGGTAGTTTTCTTTGATTTTTTAGTTGACTGGTTTGGGTTTTTTGTTGCATCCATTTTCCTTTTAGTTGCAGGTATCCCAGGCATAGTTCTACGAACAGGAGGTAAAGGTGGGGTGTAATCAGTTACAGGCCACAAATTACTTCCATTCATAGGTGCCAACCTAAACTTGTATGCCTTCATGTAAGTGATGCTACTAAACATTTTGTCCACATATGACTCCGCATCCCGATTCATAAAACTAATAATTGCAACAGAATGGACACAACCGATTCCATTAAGCTGCCAAAGCCTCCATGAGCAAGTTCTTTCTTCAAGATCCACCTCATAAGCATCTGTAGTTCCTCTTACTTCAAACTGATTTAGTCCACTAAGTAAAACTTGGTAATGTCTTAGACCCTTCTTAATCTAACTCACTATTTCTCTAATTATTGGACAAGTTTGGTTGCCCCATCCTAGACCCTTACATTTCTTGTTGAACACCTTCTCCATCATATACATCCTCAACTCCTCTAACATGGTGATGATTAGCTTCTTCCTAACATCAACAATCACAACATTAAAACTTTCTGACATTCCATTCTCCACAGCATCACAACATCTTCCTGGTTAGAAGTAGGCCCTTGACCATGTTTTGGGGTCTTTGCCCATCAGATACTAATAAGCACTTAGGTCTAGCACTTCAAGCTCTTTCATGGAAACTTTAAAATCTACTTCTGTTGTTGCTTTACATGCCTTCCAGAATATGCTTTCATATTGTACACCACTATACCTTTTCCTACAGGTTTTGGCTAATATGTTTGGCACACCGCCTATGCTCTACATATGGAAGGAGTTCTTTCACAACCTTAATCAAACCCTGTTAGCAAACTCCAAATATAGTGAATAAGGATGCGAATAGATAGGGAAATTAATTACAAACAATTAAATTACCTTGTGTTGATCCGATATTACATTGTATCCGTAGCCTAAGTTAAGTCTCAAGTCATCAATGAGTAAATCCAAAAACCACCTCCAATCTTCCTTATTCTCCACACATACTACTGCCCATGCAATAGGATAATTCCTAATGTTTGCATCCCTTCCAACATCACATAATAACTCCCCTTTGCGGATACCTTTAAGGAAACAACCATCTTAACCTATAATCTTCATGTATCCCTCCTTCCACCCCTTCTTCAATGCATCAAAGCAAACATATAACTTACTAAAGTAGTTCTTCCCATCTGGAATAAGATGTACATCAAGCTTCACGGTGCAACCTGGATTTGATCTCCTAATCTCTTCTACATACGACCAGAACTTTCATAATGTTCAACTAAGGTAGCATCTATTAGTTGTAGTACATATTTCTTAGCTCTCCTGCATTGACCAACATTAGCATGAATACCAAACTTCTGTGACACATATGTTCTTAGCTTTCTAACGCTCATCTTTTTTCTAAGTAAGAACTCTCTTGTATAATGACTCCCTATCCAAGCATAAGTGACCATGGACCCTAACTTGTAGTTCCTTGCACATTTGTGGACTGGCTTTAAAGACTTAATTTGGAAGCTTGCTTCATCACTCATCCAAGATGCCCACAACCTGAATGTGCACTCACCCTTGCAACACTTAACCAACAATCTTTTCCTATCATTTTTCTCAAAGCAAAGTTGGTAACCCTTCGCAACAACATAGTTGCATAACATTGATTTTAATTGAGATGGATCTTTGAACCTCATACCAAGTATTGGGAACTGCTTTTTCCATGGAACTAACTCATTAAAAATGGAATGTTGTTGAGCTACATTGGCATCATCTTCACGCCCATCATCATCATCATTTATGTTGTTTTCATTTCCCTACTCCTCTTCGCCACATAATTTATTTAGAAATTCATCACCCTTTGTCCTATTCATAGTGACTATGTCCTCATTAAAGTCCACATCCACATCTGTTAGGTTATCAATTTCTTCCTTATTCTCACCACCATCAATGCATGAATCATCTACATCCTCCTCTTATATTTCAGAACGAAACCAATCTTCTATTCCTTGATCATCATGGTCCACATACATACAAATTTTACCATCTGTCCCATATGCTTGAAAAATGAAATCACCATAGTCTTCATCATTAGTGATAACAATTATAAAAATGATCCATATGGTTTAACAAAAATCACAAAGTCAGTCTCTGCTAATTTTTTTTATGCAAAGGGTCCTTGTGGTTTGAAGAACTTGCACATGTGGTCCTTTTTACTAACTTTGTTAGTATTCAGCCGTTAGGTTAAGGTCATTTTCGTCTTTTCAGATATAAAAGGGTTAAATTCGTGATATATGGTAAACCTCAGGGACCCTTTGTGAAAATTGTTTTAAAAAATAATTATGTGGCTGAAGGATGGGGAGGGATCAAACTTGAGACTTCAACCTATTAAATGGCCAAAACCTTAACCAGTTGGACTGCATGTATTTTTTATTTATATTTTCTAAATACTAATTTATATAATAAGTAGAACGTTAAAATACAAGCAATAAATAAATTGCAAAACACATTTTTTTACGTATTTTTTTTAATAAAACGAAATGTATTTTCGTATTATAAAAAAAATTACAAACAATTTGTATGCATTTTTATGCATTTTTTTACATAAAAACGTATTTTTTTTGTCTTTCGTAATTTTTTTCGTAAAATATATATATTTTTTATATCTTTAAAAATACGTTTTTGTAAATAAACTTTTTTATGTCTCCAAATACGTTTTCGTATATAAAAATGTATTTCGTAAAATATTTTTTTTATATCTTTGAAAAATACGTTTTTGTATAACAAATACGTTTTCGTAAAATATATTTTTTTATGTCTTTGAAATAATAATAATAATTAACACCGGTTTTAGAGCTATAGATCCAAAAGAATTTATACAATTTTTTTAATGTCATGAATAATATTAATTATTTTTATTTCAAAGACATAAAAAAATATATTTCAAGAAAACGTATTTGTTATAAAAAAAACGTATTTGTTATAGGAAAACGTATTTTTTAAAGATATAAAAAAATATTTTTTTACGAAGGATAAAAAAAATGTATTTCATAAAATATATATTTCGTAAAATAATAATAATAATAATAATAATAATAATAATAATAATAATAATAATAATAATAATAATTAACACCGGTTTTAGAACTATCGATCCAAAAAAATTTATATATTTTTTTTATATCATGAGTAGTGTTAATTATTATTATTTCAAATACATAAAAAAATATGTTTTACGAAAACGTATTTGTTATACAAAAACGTATTTTTCAAAGATATAATAAAATATTTTACGAAATACGTTTTTATATACGAAAACGTGTATATATATATATATATATATATATATATATATATATATATATATATATATACGAAAACGTATTTTTTAAAGATATAAAATATATATGTTACAAAAAAAAAATTACGAATGACAAAAAAAATATGTTTTTATGTAAAATAAATACATAAAAATGCATATAGATTGTCTGTGATTTTTTTTATAAAACAAGAATATATTTTGTTTTATTAAAAAAAATAAGTAAAAAAAATGTGTTTTGTAATTTATTTATTGCTTATGTTTTAACGTTCTACTTATTATATGAATTAGTATTTGGAAACATAAACCAAAAATACATGCAACTTAACTGGTTAAGGCTATTGCCATTTAATAGGTGGAGGTCTCAGCTCGATCCCTCCCACCATCCTTTAGCCACATTTTTTTTTAAAACAATTTTCAAAAATGGTCCCTATGGTTTAGCATATATCACGAATTTAGTTCCTTTATACTTGAGAAGACGAAAATATCCTTACCCTAACGTTTGAATACTAACGGAGTTAGTAAAAAGGATCATATTTGCAAGTTTTATAAACCATAACGATCATTTACATCAAAAAAAAAAATTAATATTTTGTGATTTTTAGTAAACCTCAAGAATCATTTTTGTAATTTTGTTTTTAGATAACAACTTTTTTTTCTTTTTAATAATTGATAAGTACAAGAGAAGAAGCAGAAGAGACAAAGAGTACAAGTGGTAATGCCTATGGAAGGGGGACAAAGGTTTTTGTTGGATTTAGGATGTGGATTCAGTTTTCAAAGAAATGGGACCAAAGTAAAGTACTGTAAGAAATTCTGGTCTGAAAAAGTGAGTGGGAATGGACAAATTTTCAAATTTAGGCCTGGACTTTATATATGATGGGATTTTAAAAAAGAATGGGGTGTGGGCCACCACACAAACGATTATTTTACGCAAAGTTTAAATTAATTTTAGCTTTTACGTTATTGGACAAAATTACTCTACATGTTTTCTTTCGGATGCCTCCGTGTCTGAATTTTACAAATTAATTATCAATACTTGTTATTTCGGTAAAAAATAATTAGTTTATAAGTTAGTTATTATAGCATATTATTTAGCAAAATCATAAGAATAGGCTATAAGCTATAGCAAAATGTAAAATCATAAAAATTGTCTTTGAATTAAGAGTAAATTACACGAATGGTCCATATGGTTTAGAGTAATTTGTACGTTTGGTCATTAACTTATTTTTTAATTTGGAAGATCCATATTGTTTGTTTTTGTTACGCGTTTGGTCCATGTCTTACCTAAAAAAACTATTTTGCCATTGACTTATTTATTTATTTAAATAAACACAACCTCAACCCAATCTCTTCACCTTATGTTTCCTACCTCACTGTTTTTCACTATTTAAATAATAATCTTTATAGGTAAATTAGGGACCAAGCGCGTAATAAAAACAAACAGTATGGACCAAATACGTAACAAAAACAAATAGTAAGGATCTTCCGAATTAAAAAATAAATTAGGGATTAATCACACAAATTATCCCAAACCATTGGGACCATTCATGTAATTTACCCATTAATTTACAAGTCAGCTTTTAAAGTTATCCGGAGTGAGAAAGTGGTGGAGGCGATTAGTGCAATTTGTGTGCATGAGCATCACCCCTTGATGGCTTTATGGTGCGTGGTTGTGATGGGTTGCGGTTCTAGCTACGGAGCTTGACAGAAGAAAAAAGATGGGGAATTGTTCCCAAGTGCCCATTTGACCGTTTTAAGTGTATTTTTTTATTCTTTTACATAGGGATGAGCAGCGAGCCGAATCCAAGTGCGAACGCAGGAATACATATTAAGTGTTACCAATGTTGAAGTAGGTGGTGTTGGTGTAGAAAAAATAGGTAAAAGAATGGAAAAAAATTTCCACTGCAAACAGACAGATTATGTATTGTCGGTGTCACTATGGGGGCACCTATACAAAATCATCACTGGCTGGCCCCGGACCGGACCGTCCCGAAGACTGAAGATCGTGAATTACCTAACCCAAAAATCGGACCAGTTTAGAGTGAGTATGGGTTCTTGGTCCGATTTCAGTTACCAAACTGGGTTTTGGGTTTTTGACCAGTTTAAACCTTGAAAATATTGTTTATGGTTTCGCCCAGTCCTGTTCCGAGTTACAAAATGGGTTTCGTATCTTTGTTGTTTACGACAAAACACGTGAAACCCTTCAACTTTTCTATTGAGCCCCATTATTTGTTGTATTTGGTACGCATGTCTGGGATCATGTGACAAAGATGTATTTTTGTTGAACATGTTTCTAGATGTTGGTCAACATCTAGAATTTCTCGTAAAACAGTTTCTACCAACGGTTTTGATGAAACCAACATAATCTTCATTTTTGTTTTTAACTTTTCAATGAACATTACAACTTCTTCTATCACTGCGAAATCGGTATGATGCGGGACTCTACTTCGATCACATGCAAATGAGATGTATACAAAAAAAAATACAAATGTTATTAAAAAAAACTACACTATTTATTAAAAACTTGCATTTAACAACATTTATTTATATATATAAAAAATAAAAAAATAAAATAAAATAAAAAACAACAACAACAACAACAAAAATAGCTGCTTGTATTACTAAAAAACTACACTATTTATTAAAAAACTGCATTTAGTAGCTTTTATTTATAAAAAACAACAAAAAGATCGTTTTATTAAAATAAAACTACAATGTTTATTAAAAAACATTGCACTTAACAACTTTTATTTGTTAAAAACAAAAACAAAGAGCTCATTTTATTAAAATAAAAGTTCCGCTATTTATTAAAAAAAATGCATTTAAAAAAAACAACTCTTTTAAGAAAAAAATGGACTTGTTATAAAAAAAAACATCACTTTTAAAAAAATAACCTTTATTTTCTGGTCACGTCCGAGTTAAATCCATTATTTCAGGTTTCATCCGGTCCAAACCGAAACCTGAATATTTTTCACTCTTTTTACACAAACACAATATGGAGAACTATTCTTCATCATCTTCAGATGATGACCATAATATGTTGCAATCGAGTATATATTTTGTTCCTTCTTTTTTAGCAGTTTGAAATAAGGTAATTCCATAACTACTTCCCTGATTTTGTGAAGATGTTTGAATTATTCTTTTCATTAATTTCAGTTTGATATGAAACATGCCATGAAATCAACATTAATTTATCATCACATCAACAAAAAATCAGGAACTCAAAATTTTGAATCGATTATGTAGACCATTTACCTGACTCCATATATTGTAGGTGTTTTAAACCATCTTGTAAGAAAAACAAGAAGCATTTAGATGAGGTAGAAAAACTCGCACATAGGTGTTTGATTGAAGAGCAGAAAGAGAGAGCGATTGAAA